TTTTTAGAATCATTCTTTCTTTTTGGTGGTATTTAATAACCACTGAGTCTTAACTGTATAAAGGGGGGGAGGAGACTGTAAACGTTGGAAAGAGGAAAAAACCCCTTCCCTTTTCTTTTATAAAACACTCCAATCTTTGTTTAAAAATAAATAAATAAATAAAATAGTAGCAGAAAACCTTTTGGCCTAAATGTATCTGGCTAGTGTTTTTTTTTTTTTTTTTTTTTTCTTATGAAAGTAAATTAAATGTGTTTTTCATGAGTTGTCCTTGTAAAGCAGAATTCTGAGAATTTTATCTATCTTGGGCTAAGGTAGTGTTTCTCAACTCCAGTCCTCATGGACCCCCAACAGGTCATGTTTTCAGGATTTCCCTCAGATGAAACAGCTGTGGTAATTACTAAGGCAGTGAAACTGATTAAATCACCTGTGCAAAATAATGGAAATCCTGAAAACATGACCTGTTGGGGGTCCATGAGGACTGGAGTTGAGAAACACTGGGCTAAGGAGAGCAGAGATACTTAATCAGGTGATTCTCCCAGTGAAAGACCGATCCCTGCTGCCAACCCCCCCCATCACCACTGGGACAAAAAAAAAAAAATTTAAGTTCTTCTTTAAGCTTTTTCTCATGCACAGCATGGGTATGCTTGCAGTCACATATCAAAATACATTCTGCTACTGCTCCTGAGTATGGGGATAATGATTGCACTTTTACTGTAGATTTATTGAGGGGTCCAAACTCCAAGGAGCACCTTCAGGCTATCAAGGGGCTTAAAATAATGCACCTGATTTCCTGACTACATATCACATTTGTATAGGCCCTGCAGTGCCAGGACAGGAGGAACACACACATTACCACCATTTGGAACGCAGACACCCAAGGTATTGGATAAGAGGCATAGTGCAATCATTTTTTTCTTTGCCACAAGTGTTTGGAAAATTAGTGAAAATTTAATTTTTTTTTTTTGTTTGTTTGTTTGCTAGTTGACAATAAGATTTTTCACATGTTGGCATACTTAGAAATAAACCCCCATTGTGGGCATACCACACGAAACTTCTACGTCTAGCTACAGTAGGATCAAACATCCAAGGAGAACCTTGAGGGGTGTAAATTCTACATCTAATTTCATCGGTACTGCTGCTGATTGGTGATCAAGATGCTGGCTCCAGCTGACACTGGAACAAGTTGAGCTGGTCCTGGCTGATGCTGTTAATTGATGCTGTACTGGGGGGCTGGTGTTGGGGTGCTGTCTGACGCTGGGGGGCTGGTGTTGGGGTGCTGTCTGACGCTGGGGGGCTGGTGTTGGGGTGCTGTCTGACGCTGGGGGGCTGGTGATGATGGGGTGCTGTCTGACGCTGGGGGGCTGGTGATGATGGGGTGCTGTCTGACGCTGGGGGGCTGGTGATGGGGTGCTGTCTTACACTGGGGGGCTGGTGATCAGGACATGGGTGCTGGATAACACTGCTACCTGGTGACCCTGGTACGTGCTGCTAGTGATTAGTATGTAAAGATCCCTTTCAGACAATTGGTGCGAGTAAAAAGAATGCATTGTAAACTGCCTCCATCATTTGCATTGTGTGATGCTGTGATTGGCTCTGTACCTAGCAATTGTTGTGATCCATTTCATTGGCTTTGTACACAGTGGACAGTATCCCAGTGTATTGCACGTGTATTTTAATAGACTTTTATAAACAGCCTCTCACTCTCAGGAGTTTGCCATTTTTTTTTCTTTTTTTTTTTTTTTTTTAATACAATGAGGACAGCAAGTGAATAAAGCGGGATGAGGGAAATCTCTCCATGGAGTGGAAAATCCCCTTTCAGTTGTCTATGGAACAGAACACTTCCCAGTCTTTCCATTCTGGTTTTTCGGTTTTTCCTTCTCTCATTCCCAAAGACATTTGACTTACCAGAACAGACTGAGTCATCTCCCAATGGGGAAATGCAATAATAAAAAAAAAAAAAAAAAAAAAACATCTTGCAATTCCGTTGTGGCTTTAGATCCCTGGAACCTTCTTGGTAACAAAGTGAACCTGAACTAAGAGCCACCCAGATCACTTTTACAAGGTGGCCAACTACGGGCTGTAAAACAGTCCCACAATGATGGCTGCATCCATGATCTTGTAATACCCACTTGCTGACAGACCGTGTGTTCAGTGTCCCTTAGTTTTTCTTTCCATTTGTGGTTCATGCTTGCAGTACTGAGCAGATTTGCACAGACAGGCTTGAGGCAGATCTGAAGTTTTATTTTTTTTTTTTTTAGCTTTATTTACACTTCTGGTTGGGATTATAACATGTGGCTGAGCTGTGTTTTTATCACCTGCCCCAACAGCTCCTATGAAGCTGTAAAGACGGCAGTATAGGAGCTATACACGTGTTGCAGCCTTGATGCTTTGTATCGGGACGCTGCAGAAATAATCCTTGCTGACGTTCGGCAGGCCTGACATCAACAGGGTGCCTTGAACCACATGTCCTTGGCATTAAAGGCACACAATGTCACTCCATGCTGTTGCAGTGGGCCAGGAGCAGGATTTATTTGTTGTGCTAATTTAATATGGTTGTAGATTCTTCCATATGCCTAGTGAAGTGATTGGCCTCAGGTGATGGAGATGAAAAAATCCTATCACATAAATTGTACCTGTTTATCTGAAGTCTTCTCTAGATCTGTTCACAGCACAGTGCAGAATTTGTAAAGCTTGTCAGAGTTCAGAAAAAAGGGTGCGGAGAGCTGAAGTTTCACACTGCAGAGCTCAGTGAGAGTTCTAAAATGACTGAAGGGAAGAGACGACACACCCCCTACCCCTCCATTAAACCCCCCCCCCCCCCCTCACCATTTTTCTCTTGGTATCAGTAAAACTTGTCAGAAGTGACTCATGGCAGAGGAAGAGCCCATCAGACAAATGACACTTGGTGTTCCTAAGTGAGACAAGTACACACTAGAGAGATGCTTTGTTCATATTTCATGTCTGAAGTTAGCCAGTTGTCTCCCGACCTATAGCCAGATGGTGGCCGGGCAAACAGCTCATCGCTCTGGGTGGACGCCATATGGTGTCCTTTCAGGAACGCGCAGGGCCGTGCTGAGGCACGATCTGTCACCGGCCGTGTACCTCGAACACAGCCGATGACAGATCTGTGTACTGACCCTGTTGCCAGTACCATGTGACCTTCTGTGACCAATCACAGCAGGTCACATGACAGTTGTAGCCAATGGATGGCTTCTTTTCATGCCATCCGTTGTATACAAGTGTGTTTTGCTGTGAATGGTCACAGCGATCACATGCACAAGCTGAGCTATTCACAGCCCAGCTGTGTCATGTGATTAGCCGTGGCCAAATCACAGCTAAGCACAAAAAACCTGAATGAATCGATTTCATTCAGATAAATGCTTGCTTATAGCAAAGTAATTCTTTGCTATAAGAAAATTGTATGTGTATAAAAAAAAATACTGATCACTTCCCCAAAGTTGTAAAATATTACTGTCCCTGATCACTGCCATGCCAGTTATGACGCTGTACTGCACTGGTGACAGTATGTAAAAAAAGTGAAAATCATTTTTAATATCTTTTTCCTGAAAAAAATAACAAATTACAACTTAAAAAAAAAAAAAAAAACTCACCATGCCTGTTATGAAATACGTCGGACTGTCTACTTTGCAAAAAGGAGTCATTTGGGGATATCTGTACTGTTCTGACATTCTTGGACCTCAAGAAATTAGATTGGCTGTCAGTACTTCAGGATTGATCAATATTCAGATCTATACCATAGTTTGTGAACTCTATAAGTTTCCTACAAACTAAATAATACATCCTAATTTGGGTTATTTTCACCAAAGACATGTAGTAGAATACATCTCAGCCTAAATTTATGAAGAACAATTTGCAGACTTTTATAACAAAGAAATGTGTGGGGGGTTTTTTTTCCGTTTTTTTTTTTTAATTTAGCAAAAAATAGCCCCAGTGGTGATTAAATACCACCAAAAGAAAGCTCTAGTTGTGTGAAGAAAATGATAACATTTTAGTTTGGGTACAATGTTGTATGACCGCGCAATTGTCATTCAAAGTGTGAGAGCGCTGAAACATGAATATTGGCCTGGGCAGGAAGGGGTAAAAGTGCCCGGTATGGAAGTATAGAACCACTTTATAAAAGGGAAGACTTTAAACGTTGGAAGGTTTAGTAAATCTGTCTCCTAATCTCGCTGCACCGAACTGAAATGTGGCCGAGTGTTGGTGTATTATGGGACGTGAACTAGAATGAATCACGCTGCACTAGTTTAAATGTTTCCTATTCCAGGGATCCTGGTGGATCAGTACAAGTACATTGATTTTGCTTTGTTCCCCCCACACAAAGGACAAACTGATCTCAAACTGACCTCAGCTGAACTCCAAAGCCTGTGTGTACTATTCCGAATGGTCTGTTTGGTGGATGCACGGCTACAAAGGGTTCTTTTGTAAACTTGACCTCTCCAGGCCAGACAGTGGGTTTGTTGGAGGTTGTCCTGTCACTCGTCACTAATGCCTAGTACACATGAGAAGATCGGACAAAATACTGCTTTTGGAGCGATTGTCTGATCATCTGACCGTTGGTACACGGACTTCCAGAGCTGATCACGACTGTTCATGCAAAATTATCTGAAGGGACAAGCATGAAAATTTTTTCCTTAAGACAACCAAAACTAATTTTGTTTAATCAGTACAGTATTTGTCTGTAAATAAAAAATAAATCAAGTGACCAAGATCGCATGATCCAACCAAAATACATCACAGGAAGCTTGTATTCCGTCTTACAAGAATTTTCATACCTTTTTAGTAACGGCCTTCACTTTCTGAGACTAGCTTGCCCAAAAAAAACCGTTTGATGGTCTCATCATGTGTACCAGGCTTTATTAGTGATGGTATCAAAGCTCTGACCTGTGACCGTTTCTCAGTTCTGTATGTTCATTGCATGTTTCTGATATGTTTGTATGGTCTTTGGGATGCATGCTAATAAAGATTTTTCTTTTACATAGGAAGGAGATGGACCAGTAACTGTTAAAGGTCGCATCACTGGCCTGGCTGATGGAAAACATGGCTTTCATATCCATGTGTACGGAGATAACACCAACGGTATGTGCAGGTTGTGCAGTTACTTGGAAATCACTCTACATGCAGTGGTGTGTGGGGGTTTTTTGTGTTTTTTTTTTTTTTGTTTTTTTTTTTCCCCTTCACTTTGGTAAATTCTTGCTCTAGTAGATTGTTGTTTTCTGATCAATAACTAGGGTCTTCTGGCTTGATTGAATTTGACTGCAAAACTTTCTTGAAGAGGGGGAGTGGGGGGGGGGGGGGGAGCAAAACTGGATATGTTCTTGGATCAGCCAGTCAGCTGACTGATTTTATTTAGAACCTGTTCATTTGACAGGAGAATGAATGTCAAGTAGAAATTGGTGGTTTGCACTGCAGTTTAGTGTGAATGACAAAGGGGAATGCTATGGGGTTGACTTATGAAAACTGGAGCACTTAGAAGCAGATTGGTTTCTATGCAGAGCCTCACCAATTCTTCTAACTTCAGCTTGTTAAAGTGTTACTAAACCCACCACTGTAAAATCAGTCTGTATATGCAGTAAATCATGCTTGATATATTCACTGTGCAACCTAAGGGGTTAATCCTCTGCATTATGTAAAAAGGTTGTTTGATTTGGTCTTATCTGGTCCTCTCCCCTTTTACTGTTCACAATCCATTTGCCAGAGTATAGAGCCCTAGGAGGCACTCTGCACATGCTCAGTTTGGTGTACATTGCTAGAGGCTTGTGGTTTTTTTTTTTTTTTTTTTTTTTTTTTCCTCCCCTCTGTGGGATGGTGCATGTGATCAGCGCAGGGCCCATCAGCACGTCAGGGGTCATGCAGCCTCATAGGACAGTCAGAGGAGAATGAACACTCCCAAGATTAACCAGTGCTCAGCCCGATACTGATAGTCACAAGACTGCTATATACTGCTGATGAGAAGGGATTTAGCAGTTTATATTTACTAAAATTGCATTTTCATGTTCTGTGGGAGACCAGTTATAGTGAGTGCTGAGTCCTGGGTAACGGCTTTGACAATGAAACCTGGAAGCTGATTGGTTTCTTTGCAAAGCTTTACCCCCCCCCCCTTCCCAGTTTTAGTACATCTCCCCTTATGGGTTAGTTAACACTACACGTGTGGTATGAAGCATGCATAATGAACAATAGTTTCTGATCAACAAGGCTGGAGCAATGTATCAGAAAGTGATTTGATATGAACAGTTCCTACCGGATGACCTTGGTACTAGAATGTATCTATATTCTGTGCACAGCTTGGTGTCTTGCTGGCTGGTGGGAAACTTGCTGGCTGGCAGGTGAGACCCACAGTATGCATTCTGTAATATTAGCCTTCATGCTAGCCATTTTAAAGGAGAACTGTGATCAGGATTTTTTTCTACAGAGTAGTACAGTGTTACCATTGTATTGCTCTGGTCACAGGAGTAGAAGAGCAAAATTTTTTTTTTTAAATTTTTTTTTTTTTATTAACATACCGTCGCCAGTCAGTGTCCCTGATCAACGCTGCACCAGTTATGATTCTACTGTACTTCATTGGTGACAGCATGTTAAAGTGACTTTTTTTTTTTTATTATTTTGCACAATTAAATGACAACTTCAAGAAACTCGCTATGCCGCTTACCAAATACCTCAGACCGTCCTGTTTCCAAAAAGCAGACATTTGGAGGGGTATTTGTATTTGGGCTTCAACAAATCAGCTGTCAGTACCTCAAGATTATCAGTTTTCTTTGTTTTAAGATATAACATAGTTTGTGGACTCTAACTTTCCTACCAATTAAATAATAAACACTGATTTAGGTTAATTTCACCAAAGAGTGCAGCAGCATACATTTTGCCCTAAATTGTTTTTGTATAGAAATTTGCAAAATTTTAGAATGCACATTTTTTTTTTTTTTTCCAGTCTCCATTTTTATACTGCAAAAAATAAAAGAGCGATGGTTATTAAATGCCACCAAAATAAATATTTTATAAAAAAAATTATAAAAATTTCATATAGATACAGTGTTGCCTGACGGCACAATTTTCATTCAAAGTGCGACCGTGCTAATAGCTGAAAATTGGCCTGGGCAGGAAGGGGCTAAAAGTCACCAGTAGGCAATGGGTTAAAGTACAGCACATGGAGCTATGCTCAGTAGTTTTATCTACAAAATGTAATGCCACACCAACAACCTCCAGCCTTGTTCTTGGTTGAGGGAAAACCAGTACAGAAACTCTGGGCTATGCTGTCTGGGAAGTGTTGAGTTTCTTAGTCTGTTTTCCATAGGCCGTATATTGCAATTGTACAATACAGACACAGGCTAGATGTTCACAATCTTTGCAAAGATTTTGAGGGCATGTCCCATTATAACCACCTTCCCCTCCCATGAGTCTTCAGTTGTTTGTTTTTTTTTTTTTTCTTTCTTCCTATTGTCCAACGCGATTTGACCTCTTCTTGCTTGTAGCTTAACTAGTTTAGTTTATTTTGGGTTCTTCAGTCAGCTCTTTACTATCTTCAGATGTAGAAGCCGTGCAACCTCTGTAAAACCTTGGGATCCGTACCTAGACCCATGCCACAGCTACATACAGTATATACCGCACATCCAGCGGCCTCACAGGTTAGTGAGGGACATGGTTCGCTTGGGCCAAGCTAGCCCAAACATACTATGTACAGTATATCAAAAGGTAGAGATTAGCTTTACTATTGGGTAACGATAAGGTGGAGATTAGCTTTCATTTCAGAAGATTCTGTGATTCTAATAGTTGAATATTCAGTTGTGACTGGCTGTTGTGCTGACAAGACATTGAACTAGAACTGTATAATGGTTCTTAGGTTTCCTGACCATGTAGTACCAGGTTTCCTGACCATGTAGTACCAGGTTTCCCTGACCATGTAGTACCAGGTTTCCTGACCATGTAGTACCAGGTTTCCTGACCATGTAGTACCAGGTTTCCTGACCATGTAGTACCAGGTTTCCTGACCATGTAGTACCAGGTCCTACCACCTTGGATATAGTTTAAAATGGGTCATGTCGGTAGGCCCTACCTAACAGTACATAGATTTGGTAACAAAGTTAATCAAGGAGGTGCATAATACCAGTCTGTTCTGTATGGCTGTTTTTTTCCATCAGTTATAATGGAGGATGTTTATTTTGTCTCTATAGGCTGTGTAAGTGCTGGTCCACATTTCAACCCGTACAATAAGACCCATGGTGGTCCAGATGATGAAGTGAGGTAAATCTATTTAATGTTTGATGTTGAATGCCTTACAGTAAAACTTGTTGAAGTAACAGTAAGTGTTCATATGAAGTAAGAAAAAAATATCAGCCGAAACGTGTTTGCCCACATCTTCAGCACTAGAGGAAGCCTGGGGCAGTGTTTTTTTTTTTTTTTTTTTTGTTCCCCCCCCCCCCCCCCCCCCCCCCCCCCCCTTCCTTTTTTTTTTTTTATTTTTCAAAGCTAACCTGTCTTTAGATGTAAAATCCCAGCAAAGGTTAACATACAATAATGAGCTATGCACATGACTGTCAGTGTTTGCTCAGTGTGTTGCTGTCTGTCATTCTGAGTGTGTGAATAAATCGGGTCATGTGTGCCGCCTTTAGGCCTGGCAGACCTAAAGAGCACAGATATGGGGATGTGACAATAAACAGAGCAAGGAGTGCTGAGTGGTGGTTTTAGGACAGGGTAGCCAAACTTCAGCAGTCCTGTTATTTTGCAAATTACCAAGAGGCATTGTTAGACTGATGGCCACAACTACTGGCAGAGGCATGATGGGACTAGCTGTTCAGCTACAGCTGGAGGGCCGGTTTTCTCCTACCCCTACTTTGGAGTTAAAACTTTAGGTTAACATTAGTAGGTTTTTTTTTTTTTTTTTTTTTTAAATGTACCCATTTTTTCCTTGGAGTTTACTTAACATTTTAAGAATAGAATTGCTGAACGTAACCAGTGAATGGGCAAATACATAACTTATTCTATTGGCTAACGGTACCTGCAAGTTGCTGAGATTGTTTAACTTTGCTTTTAGAATTTCATGTGTATATTACATAGTTAGTCTGGCTAAAAAAAGACAAGTCCATCCAGTTCAACCATAAAAAAAATTATAATCCTATATCCAGAGTTGATCCAGAGGAAGGCAAAAAACCCAGCAAAGCATGATCCAATTTGCTCCTGCAGGGGAAACCGCTTTCCTTCCTGATCCCCTGAGAGGCGATCGGATATTCCCTGGATCAACTGTACCTATAAATGTTATATCCAGTTATATTCTGTGTATCTAGGAAAGAATTCAGGACTTTTATAAAGCAATCCACTGAGCTGGCCAGAACCAACTCTTGAGGGAGTCTATTCCACATTCTCACAGCTCTCACTGTGAAGAAACCTTTCTGTGTTTTTGGAAATTAAATCTCTTTTCCTCCAGACGTAAAGAGTGCCCCCTTGTCCTCTGTGATGACCTCAGGGTGAATAACTCTACACCGAGTTCACTATATGAACCACTGATGTATTATACATGTTCATCACATCCCCCCTTAATCTCCTCCTCATGAAAAAATAAATTCAGTTCCTCTAATCTTTCCTCATAGCTGAGCTCCTCCATGTCTCATCAGTTTGGTTGCCCTTCTCTGTACTTTCTCCAGTTCCCCAATGTTCTTTTTGTGAATTGGTGCCCAAAACTGAACTGCATATTCCAGATGAGGTATTACTAATGATTTGTACCGGGGTAATATGATACCTCTCTCTGGAGTCTATACCTCTCCTAATACAAGAGGATTTTGCTCGCTTTAGAAACCGCAGCTTGGCATTGCATGCCATTATTAAGCTTGTGATCTACCGGAACCCCCAGATCCTTCTCCACCATTGATTCCCCCAGTTGTACCCCCCCTAGTATGTATGATGCATGCATATTCTTAGCCCCCAAGTGCATAACATTACATTTATCAACATTAAACCTCATTTGCCACATAGTTGCCCAATTACACAGTGCATTGAGGTCGGCTTGTAAATTGAAGACATCCTGTAAGGACGTTATTCCACTGCACAGCTTGGTGTCATCTGCAAAGACTGAAATGGGATTTTTAATATCCGACCGTATATCATTTATAAATATATTAAAAAGTAAGGGTCCCAACACTGAACCTTGTGGGCCAAATGTTAAAGCAAACTTACCACAAGCTCCGCTAAGAGTCCGTGTTCCATAAACCTACAGGATGAGCAGGTCATGTCAATGCAGAACAAATATCCTATTTAATTTGCTGTCTCTTTGAGGAGTTGGATTGTGCTTACAGGTCTTGGTTATGGGGGACCCTATATTGTAGAAAGAACAAGTGTTTTATTTGTGAATGAAGCCCTTGCTCTTAGGTGCTTCTTGCATGCTCCTCGATGTAGGTTTCAGTTTGAGCTGAGATGTCTTGTCTTCCAGGCATGTTGGAGACCTTGGAAATGTAACATCAAGTGGTGGCGTTGCTGAATTTCAAATAAAAGATAAAGTAATTTCTTTGCAAGGAGAGAAGTGTATTATTGGCCGCACAGTGGTGGTAAGTGATGTTTTACTGCACTACACGGTGCAGATACACAATGTACACTGGCTGCTGGAACATGGGTTGGGGGGAAAAAAAGTCCATCTAGTACAACAGTAAAGAAACAAACAAATGGAAAACTTCCATACACAATCATCTATCCACATTAGATCTAGAGCATGGGGATTGAATTAAAATTGATGGAGATCTGATCAGTAAACAGTTGTTTTTTTTTTTTTTTTTTTTTTTTTTTTTTTTGCTTATGTATTTTTTTATTTATATTTTTTTCCCCTCCCACCAGAGGTCTGAATTGCATGATCTTTCCCACAGCTATGTTCTCTGCCTCTTCACAACCTTGCATAGCCATGTTCTCAACCAACCCCCCCACGGACACCGCAAACCGTTCAAAAGACTTGACTACAGTTCTGGACAGAATAGCAGGCGGGAGGAAGACAGTACAGTACTGGATGGGAGCTGCCAGAGTTAACGTTTCATATTAACAAGCTGGTGATTGGCTGCGAGGTGCTCAGAGCAACCAATCGCCAGCTTAACAGGAAAAGGTAACTTTGGCAGCTCCTGCCTGCCCCGTCCAGTGCTTTTTGCTGCTCTAGAATTAGTGGGTGGAGAAAACTGGTTCTGCCACGTCCAGTCCAGTGTTTGCTTCCTCCTGCTCTCTGCAATAGAATGACAACGGGCGGAGGCTGGAAAAAGAAAGCAGCTCTTTAAGTGGTGTGACCACAGCGGTTCAGACTATGGTCCACCATTTAATGCCTGATTTAGAGGAAGAGCATGGCTCAGTTTGCTCTTGCTGGGGAAACTATTTCCAAGGAGGAAAACTCCAAGTGTAATTTATCGAAAACATCGCAATTTCCTATGAGGCTACATGCACAGTGACAGTTTTGCTAGTAGAAGCAACTGTCTTCCTGTGGTCATGCACATTAGGTAAGCTCTGTGTGGGTTTTTTTTTCTCTCTGCTTTAATAGGCCAGAAAAAAAAAATCTTTTTTTTTTTTTTTTTTCTTGCAGAAAAAATGTTAGTACAAATTTATTTTTGTCCTGCCGAGAGGACTGACCTTTTCAGCCAAGTATGCATGGAGCCTGAATGTCCAAATCCAGTTAGAGCTGGATGCATTCCTAAATGCACAAATATGAGCTGGACAGAACTAGTTCTTGAGGGAGTCTGTTCCCTCAGAATCTGAAACATTTTTGCAGAGCTTGTAATTGCAAAAGCAGGCGACCTTGACCAAATGTCAAATAGAGAACAGATCTGAAATTTTGGGGAAAAAAATATTTGCTTAGAAGCAGAGCTCTAACCTCTCAGCAAGGCTACATACATTGGCGTGACAGGATTGAGAAGGACACGCTCAGCTTTTACAGGAAAAGCGGAGCTGCAAAGAGCTTCAGTACTCTGTTCTGATTGTGTTCTTGCATGGCAAGACCACTTACTGTTATCTCACATATATATTCTTATTATAGCCAAATTTACCACCCTAACTCCTCCCACAGTTTTTACACTACATAGACAGTAATATACCGAAACATGTGGATTGTTCCCGATTGGTGTGCTATTACTTTGTGGAACGTTTCGCCGAATGGTTCACGAAAATATCGGCATTTTTGTGGTGAAATTGGTCCCATAGGAGCAAATGGTGGAATGTTCAAAACTAGAGTGGAAGCTGAAAAATCAGGACATGATTTCTAAACTGCCATCACTCCCTCATTTTCAAGCCCACCTACACAAATCTGATATCAAAACGTTCTGCTATCCCTGCTGCCACTAAATGTCCACGGCTAAGCCATAGTCCTGATAGTTTTCACAATATGACCATTTGTTTGCAGCTCACGCCGCTCTTTTTCCTTTTTCATTCTTTGAAACTCCTCTAGCCACCTCAAATTTGAAGGGCAATATCTAAACTGCGACTGTGCCTTCATTTTTAATAATTCAGAGACCTACTATGCATCAAAATGTAGGTCTGGGTCTTGTGATTCTCACAATATAAAGCTATTCGGTGTAGGATTTATATTTTTTAAACTACAACTGTTTTGAAGATGGCAACCGCCAGTGAAGTGAGCAGTTTGTTTTTTAACCGCTCTTCTCTGCCCTTGCTGTAGAGTGAGTTGCCATATGAACCCAGGTGTGTGAGCAGGCAGCAGAGTGACAAGCCACTCCACCCAGTTACTCTGCCCACTCCAGTTGTAGACTACTGGTGGAGGCAAGAACACTTCACACAATTTCCCCAGAAATTGTAGCTTTTCTAGTTTTAAATATGCTGCTTTCACTGTAGGCAGCCTCTTGTTAAGTCAGCCTGGGGCGATCTAAACTGAGAAGATGCCATGCATGCATGTTTAATAATTTTTACTGTGCAGAAGACTTTGATTCAGGTCCCTTAGATTGTACATGTGTAAGATCAGGCATCTTGCACATGCACTGTATGGCACGACAGGCATTTGAAAAAAAATCCTTCCCTGAGATCTCACAAGATTTTTAACCAACAAATGGTTTCATTTTTGACATGTAGAAATGCGCTTCATCTCACATGCAGACTATTACAAGATTGTGAGATCTCGAAGTTTAGATAAAAGATTTCCCTGAAGGCAGTGGTGACCTTGCCTGGTGACACTGTGATTGTCACAATTACCTTCAGGGAAACCAGGAAATAAAGAGCATTTTTAGGAGGGCAATTTCACATCGGCATGCTGGTATAAGTTTGAGAGAGGCCCACTTTAAGGGTCAGTTACTAACCACTGCAATACCACACTATAGCCGAAAGACTGCTGCAGTGCGGTTGTTCAGTTCCAAGAAGGCGTCCATGGATGTCCTCCCAGAATTCTGCCCCCATCAGGCACGCTGTGACCACTGTCCTCTGGCCCTTTACCCCAATCTGTGATCAGCTGTCTCCAATTACAGTGGCCCTTTACATGTGATCAGTTGTGATTGGGCACAGCTGATCATATATAAACAGACTTGCCAGATATTTGCTCTCCTTTCCACAGACAGTGTGAGGAAAGGACTGCCGATAGCCAGCAAGACTTGTCAGTACATGGTTTAACACTGATAATTATTGGTGCTGCCCCAGTAGTGCAGCCTCATCCGTGCACATCAGTAAAGAAAAATTTACTTATTTGCAAAATTTTATAACTAATTGTGTGGGGTTTTTTTTCTCTAGTAAAATAATAAAAAAAATTCAGTGGTGATTAAATACCACCAAAGAAAGCTTTATCATATGGGTACAACAGTGTGAATGACCATGCAAATGTCATTCAGAGTACAGCAGTGCTGAAAATTGGCCTGGGCAGGCATGGGTCAAAAGTGCCCGGTATTGAGATGGTTTAAAGGAGTTGAGAATTTTCACTCAGATTGTGAATATTCTTTAGCTGCCCAATCATGTACAAGTGCTTGTCATGTGAGTGGTTGACTAAAGTGAACAGAAATGTTCATGTCACATGATTGGATGATTGAAGTGAATCTCTACATTTGAGTTGATGCTCAACTCCATTAGTAAATTGGCCTTTTTTTGCTGTACCTGGAATGTATTTAGCAGTTTTGGTGTGTTTTGGTTTTTTTTTTTTATCTATTTTACCTGTGACAGATGCAGTGCCACAGTTTCTCATGCACTCTTCTTAAAGCCTCAGTATTGCAAATGCACCACATATTTTTACTTGTGGAAGAAGAGACTGTTAAGAGTTCAGTAGTGAAAAGTTCCTTAGGACCAATCCACTCCATTGGTGTGTGATGTGTGACTTCTTGCAATAAAATACCTCCCATATCTCTAACCCACCCCTTATTTGAATGCACTTCTCTAAATACCATTTTGATAACACATGCTCTGTGGGTTCTTTGTTTTTCAGTAGGGGGTGGGTTGTAGTAGTGCTTTGTTGCTAACTTTGAAAACCTATATTTAGTTTCATACTTTAAACCAATGTTTTTCAAATCCATAAACCTTTCTTTCACATTCAGGTCCATGAGAAGGAAGATGACTTGGGAAAAGGTGGAGATAATGAGAGCCTGATAACTGGCAATGCTGGTGGGCGTTTGGCCTGTGGAGTCATCGGAATTTGCCCGTAAAATGGAATAGTTTATGGCATTGTTCATCCAGTTATAACCACAGCATATAACACTTACTTGTTCTGTTGTCTGCAGTATGGTTCTGTCGTTCAGTTCCAGTAAATCAAACTCAAGTGCTGTTAGCAATGTTACATTGCATTTTATATTAAACACTAGTAACCGTAAACTGTGTGATATGTTTTTTTTTTTTTTTTTTTTCTCAATCAAAACTTTATAAAGGGTATAAACTCTGAAAGGCATGCCCAAAAGAACTGTTCCCGGCATTGCCTGTGGTCTCCTTGCAGGGTCTTTTCCTCATTGCTTGCCATTCCTTGGTCTGCGCTCCTCTACCAGCGTGGACACCTTTATACACAGTAGGACATCTCCAAAGACAAGCTGTCAAGACAGCAGTGCTTTGGCTTGCTGCAGATTTAGAGCTGAAGCTGTAGGCACAGTAGTACCTCACAGGAGATGTGCTTCTGTTAAGTGAGATAGATATAGATATATATAAAATTTAATTTTTTTTTAAATCTGGTCTGTTTTAGGATGCTTTTTACAGTAAGATCATCTGAAAAATGCTTGAGTCTATTAATCTGCACTATATTAAAGCTGTGAAATGTGGAGCTACAAGCCAAGCTTCTAAGAAGGGAAATATGGTCCAATAGCATGCAAAACATCACTTACCCAAACTCCTATATTTCTTTTCAACTTGAAGATTCTAGACAGCCTGACATCAGATATCCTCAGATTGGCTGCCTAAGGCCTTGTAGATCACTTCACACTAGAGCTAGAAAATTATTTTTTGCAGAACTTTAACTGGACCACTATGTATGCCCAGATAGCTACTTGCCATTTTTTTTTTTTTCTATAATCTGATGGGTCCTTCCAAAGGACTATCTGATATTTATAAGCTACTGTGATACCATTATAAAATTCCTAAAACCTTCCTATATGCTGAGATGGTGGAGGATCTTGGAGGAATTACTGCTGGAAATATGTTAATCCTTACATGGTCTATAAAATGGTTCTCCACTGCTACAAAATCGGAGACCCTTCATTCTGTTTACTGGTCAGTCAGGGATGGTCGTTTTAAAAGGGAATTGGTTTCCATTATAACATATTGGAACTAGAAGAACATTGATGCTTTCTGGGAATCTGCCCATTCTTTGATTCTGAGTCTTTGAGAGAATGAAACCTTTCCATATCAATATTGTGATTGCTACCATCTCTATAAGAGAAGCAAATGGGTAAAGGGTTGTGGAAGGGCTACTGCTCCATCCAGGTTCTGCACCGACATCCATGTATTGGAAGAGTTGTCCAACAAGCTTGCACACTTCAAGTCCTCCTGAAGATGCCACAGATCCCAGACCTTGAACTGCTCAAGGGTATCATAAAGGCATGCAATAGCGTCTCTGGACCACTCTTGTAGAAAACTAGAGTTTTAAATATCTAAAGCTCTGTAGTTTCTACATTTTAAGGACTATTGGGATTCTAGTGGCAGTGAGTATGAATAACTTTCCTTCTTTCCTATTTTGTGATAACTAATTTAATCTATCCAGCAGAGATTGCCAAGTTTTATATTGCTGTCAGAGGTCTTAACCCTTTCTACACAAAATATTTGCTTCAGCAAATAAAAAGGAAAAAAAAAAAAAACACCATGGTATCACTGTATGTAGGGTTGGGCCTGTGGAGTGTAGATGACTAGGGGTGGGTTAGTGCAGAGTTCTGTGAATGAGGAATTCTGATTATCTAACCAATCTGTGCCTGCTGCCCCTCTATCAATTCCTTCACTGTCTTCATAACATACAGAGCCATACCTGCAACTCTGCCCCCAGCTCTATCACCAACCTCATCTGCCATCATCCACTCTGCTCCTCCCAAGACATCTTGTGATGTGAGTCACTTTGGGTAGAGGGCCCATGGAACCCAGCTCACATTGGAGAGGTGGGGAGACCTGTCTAGGCTCCCCGTATCCATCTTATGTGTAAATCACCCTGTGCCTGTTAGGGGTACAAGGTGATCTGTCCTAATATTGTGTGAGCTTTGTCTCAGACTGTGTAGACATGTTAAGGAGAGAGGTGGGGGTTGTTGATTGTTTAATGTTATGTGGCTGCATCCCATTCTATTGTTTGTCTGGTTTGGGAGCAAATTATTATGGGATGTATGTGTAGCTTAGTGGGGGGATGTCTCCAGCAGCCCTCCCTCATGGCCCGTCTAGTCTTGTATGGTCCACTGTGGTGTCTGTTGTCGGTGTTTGGATGGGAAAGCAGTAGTCTAATGGAAGTACTTAAGTGCAGTCTGAGTCAGTTCTGTTATATTGGTGGCAAGGGGTGGGATTGTGCTTTCTGGCTGTGAACACGTCCAAACCACCAGCGGGATTCAAAATCAGGAAAGTAGAAGTCGGTCACCCCAGTGAAGCTATGGACCTGGCAGCAGAGTTCCCATGCCTTATGTGGATTGTTCTTGCAACATACCCCATGACTGTCTGCAGATGAGTACATGGAGCTCAGGCAGTGGATTTGGGTGGTGCTTTTGGAGTGGAGTCCTCCAGGTTGCTGGTATATACAAGTGCTATCCAACCCCAGGGGAATGGGCTGGGGACCAACGGGAGTTACGGATGCCATTCCTAGGAGAGCGATCGACCCCCCCCCCCAGGAGCAATTGGTGACTGAGTTGGACAGGCTGGTCCAGCAGGAGATAGAGCTGGACAACCGATAACGGGCTCTGCAATAGCATGCAGTGCAGAAATATTTAGGGGAGACAACAGAATGCTCTGCGGAGGGATAGGACTCTGGTGGCCCTGGGTTGCTGTGGGAGAGCCTTACAGATAATTTTGTGTTTGGCAATGGAGAACCTAAATGTAGATTGCCCGCCTTGTTATGTAGGGAGGGGGAATTGTCCCGAGTGTATATATCTTGTATCTGTGTTCAAATAAAGTCATCTAGTCTTGTGTGGTTGGCTGTGGTGTCTGTTGTTTGGGAAGTGGTAGTCTAACAGAAGTACTCAAGAGCAGTCTGGGTTGGTTCCGTTACAGTGCTCTTGACGCCTTCTCCCATCCTCCTGACTTCCCCACCCCCTGTATGTCTGGTCAGCTCCCACCTTGTCTGCTTTTAGGCAATGCTTAAAGGATAAGTTCACCGATAGAAATGTTGCATGTTCCACCCATTTTTAGGGTGTAACATTCCCTCCCCTGCCCAGATGTGAACCCAGGCTGAATTCTTCCGAAACCATGATCCTATGTTAGGACAGAATACAAAACCAAAAGTCTTATTTGACTGAAGAAATATGGGGTGGTCCTTGGACTGTCAGATATACAGCTTTTTGTATTCTCACAATTGTCACATAAATACTATAGAGATGTGTGATGGTTGAAGACCTGTGAAATATGTTTGTATATGGGTTTAAAATTCTTATTACAAAAAAAAAAAACAATTTCATGAAAACAAGTAAACCCTTAGGATTGATGTTGCAAGTGCATTGACGAAAAAAAAAATGGTACTTGCCAAGTTAAAAAAAACAAAAAACCTTTTCAGTCAGTGAAGGAACAAATGATCACTGGCAAAAAAAAAAAAAAAGCAGCCCATCCCTGGATATACCAAGAGCATGATATAAACAGAGTAGTGAAACCCATGACCCAAAATAGATTCTCAAGAATCTTTTACATTTAATACAAATCCACTTAATTACACAAAAATCCAATCCATTGAGGGGGAGGACAAAACTGCTACCCGGCCCAGTGTACCAAAAGGAACTGGATGGCTGCCTGAAGGACTTTACACCTGAAGATAACAGAACCATCCACCTACTAAGAACTTGGAGAATGTGTGAAGAGGAAAAGAGGTGGCAGCCTTGCAAATCTAAGAAACAAGCCTGCTGCTGAAAAGCCAAGGATGTGCTCATAGCCCTACTAGACTAAGCCTTAAAATGCTATTAAACACAATGCAAACATGTAGTGTAATATTGTAGCTTACCCACCAGTAGATGTGATGGCTGCATTCGTTTTCTTTCTGGTGATCTGGCTAGTAACACACCTGTATTATTAGAGGGTCTGTCCCCACTCTGGATGAAGGAGCACAGGGACACCCTGGGCAGCAGCATTGTCATTGGTGGGGAGTGTTAGATGTAATGGCAGATTTAAATACACTACCAAACTGAAGTCAAACTCCAGCTTACACTTTTTAAGCATTTACAGCAAATGTTTTCATTTTGCGATAAAGGTTTTACATAAATATATAAAATCTGATCATTGTAAGCACATCCCTGGTAATAGTTTGTCTCATCTCTACCTGATTTATTTTGCTAGAGATTGTGCTTTTGAAAAACGGACTTGCTGGCTGAATCACCAGATGGCAATAGATGTGCGGCTGCATTTGTTTTCTTTTTAGGCTCTCTTTCTTTTAGAACTGGTAAGCTGCAATATAATAAATGTTGCTTTTGGGATTAATACTGCTTTAAACAGGAGGAGCATCCATTCTTGATCACCTGAATGGGTGATCTGTCTGAGCCACCTATCGATAGTGGAATAAAAAGCCAGGGCTTATCTCACATGATAAACAAGAAACCAGTCACTAAAAGAAGCTGGGGCGGACAAAAGAATCTTAGAGAGCTTGAACCACATTAAGGCTGGCCATACATTATACAATTTTCTTGAGAATTTTGCTTTAGATTTACCAAAAAACATAATATGAGGTGAAATCTAAACAATACTTTCAACTGTATCCAATCAAGCAGGCCCTTGCACTACATAGTTGAAGGTAAATCTAAAGGAAATTGGACAGAAATTTGTAAGAAAATTGTATAGTGTACGGCCAACCTAAGACAACAGAAGGAAATTTCCTTTTGAAAAGCTGAAGGAAGTGATAGGCGTACACTGTCCTGGTTAAGGTAAAAGTCAAAGACTACCTTTGTCAAGGAGGACATTCACCTTGTCTCTGTGCAAGGCCTGACTGTACATTACAAGAGAAGGCCATCAGTTAAATCCCTCTCTTCGTAGTGGTGATCGCTATAAAAAGCAACCTGAT